TTTTCAAATTTTTAGTTTTCACTTTTCAGACATGATGATATGTTTTATACTGATTTGTTCAGTTAGGAGCTTCGTTTTGTTCAAGATGACAGTATCATTTGATCAAGTAGTATAAATATTTTCCGTCGATTTCGCCTTCCTTTCGTTGCGCATATAGACGTGGCCAGTCAGCGGGCCGAGGCCCAGTTGCACTTGGCCCGAGACGGGTCCGCCGAGAACCAAGGGCCGGTTTGATGAACCTGCCTTGAACCGACGGGTCACGGCCCCGTTGATTTTCAACCGGTTCCAGGCCGAGTTGGCGGTTAGTTGTTTTTTTTTTTCCACTTGACAAAAAATAAAAAGATTAAAAGACGTATTGTTAAAAACGAGCAACAACTCCAATTATTAATATAAACTCGTTTGTATCTGGTTCTCGCATTGTAAAACCCCATCAAGACTGTTTTGGTAAAGCCATAGAGGAGGAGGTGAATGATAGGGTGTTAACTTGGGAACATACTGTGTCGGATTACATTGATTTGGCGGAAAGATATCTCTGCTTTTCGCAGCCTGTGTCGGTCTATGGGTTCTCAAGATGATGCCTTCGACCGACCAAGGTTGCTGAACCCAGAGATACCTTTTTCCGCCAAATCAATATAATACAATACCATCTAGTTCGAACATGACACCTTATCATTCACCTCCTCCTCTATGACTTTCCCAAAACAAACAGTTTTGGTGGGAGTTCTAGAATGGTGGAAACAGATGTAAACGGGTCTGTGTTAATACTTGATCGTCTTTTAGTCCGAATAAGTTAATTTATCAGTATTTTGAGTTTCATCAACGTCATCATGCAATCCGACTCCAATACACAGTCTCGAGTAATATCGCCGTTCTTTTTGCTAGTGGCCTAAAACACGTTACTTAATGGAAGTTGTCTACGTTATCATCTTTGGCGTACAAGATGTTTATACCATCATCACACAGTTCCATAAAGGTACAATTTTTTTCATAGATCACTGGAACTGTTAGAAGTAATATCAAACTAATTATATGAAGTTTTGATGACTCAATTGTAAGTTCACCATTACATTATTTTACATTCTTTTCGTCGAAATTGAGTTAGAATTCAGATGAAAAATTGATAATTAAGTATTTATAAGCGTTCTCTTGCTTGTGCCATTGCAGGCGTAATTTAGATTTCAAATCATATAATTATTAAATTAATACATAATAAAAAATATTGACGTCGTACATGCCGTTAATATCTCAACATGAACTGAAAACATCAACTTCATTTTAAACTGGGTCGGTTCGGGTCATGTTGTGCGGGCCCGGACCGTTGGGGCAAAAAAAAAAAGGAAAGGAGAACCGGAACCGACCCGCACATTCACGGTTCCAGTTCGTGTAACCGCTCTATTTCGGGCCGGTTGCGGGCCGAGATCGGTCCGGGTCCGGCCCGCGGCCATGTGTGTGCGCATATTTCTTTGCAAAGTAATGAAGCTTACCTTGATTTCTCAGTGGAAACGGAGTTGGACAGATTCGTCATTTTCTCCCTCGTATTTTCTTTATGACAATCCTGACTGACACGGTTTACTTGATAGCTAAGATTTTGACATAAGCTGTGGAAAATAATGTCACGAAGACTAATTTGGTTTATAGAAGTTACAAAATTATTTTTTATTTTCAAATATATATATTTTTTAATTTAGTTATAAACGTCGTGTTTCGATTTTAAAGAAAAATGTTACAAGTACATAATAAAAGTACATAGAGGTGTACATAACACTCACGTGTTGTGAGTCTACTTACTTTTTTATTTTTGATAGAACCTATTTAATGTGAGTATTATGTACTATAGCATTACTCCGATTATTAATAATAAAGATACATGAAAACAACAATAAAATGGGCCCAAAGGTGGGGGTCTCAAAGACTCAAACTTTCATGGCCACCATATTTTCTTCATTATAATAATAATACTAATAATAATCAACATAAGAGAAAAAAATAAAAATAAAAAATAACATAAAATAGAATAAAATAAAAAAAAAAGGCACAAATTATTGAACGAACATAATCATATCTCATATAATGAATACTAGTAAAATAGAAAAGGGGGACCTTATTTTTGGCCCATTTTTTTCATCGGTAAATACGACGTCTCAGGAATAAAAGTTTTGGGCACTGACATCAAAATTCCTCTATTTCACCTGCAAATATATTTAACATAAAATGAAAAATAATTATGTTTTTACAATTATATTAACTTTTATGTTTCGTAATATTTTCTTTATAAAACCATCCATAACTTTATGTATTGACACATGTCCAATGTGTACTTACTGCATGACACGTGTCAATACACCATTTGTGGATAACAATGGATGACTCCATAAGCCGAGTCATCCGATAGTTCCATAGCAAAACCGTTCCTTAGAAATGTGCAAACAATATTACAATAAGAAAAAATGATGGGAAAATAAGGTTTTCGAGGGAATTATTTTTAACCAAAATGGAAATTAATTTTATGAAGTTCACCAATTTTTTTTTTTAAAAAAAGATCACGCATGATATATATTGATATGATGATGTATAAAGATCGACCAATGTTATTGCCAATTTACATATCACTGTAGCGAGGAGCTAGTAGACGTGTTCAAGTGTCGGGCCGGTTCACGAATCCGTCCTGCCTGCTGGGTCAGCAGGCCTCAAATGTTGGGCCCGAAACCGGCTCAAATGAACTGGCCCGTCTTTCGACTCGGGACCAGCCCAGAATCGGCACGACGAGTCAAAAAGGACTAAAACTCGACCCTGAACCAACCCTTAAGGGGTTCTGAGTTGGTTCAAAAACTGGCTTTACCAGGTCGATGCACGGGCCGGTTCGACCCTTCGCTATGTCTAGGAGCTAGTGTACAGACAATGCATTAAAATGAAGTCAGGTCCCAAGACATTCAGTGGCAGAATTAAATCAGACACTGCTGAAAAACTATTGCCTAGAGATTTTCGCCACATCATTTGATGTGAGGAAAAAAAAAAAGGACTTGGTCAGTGGCAGAATTACTTCACACTGCTGAAAAATGTGATAAAATTAAATTTTAGCCAAAATATAGTGGCAAAAACATTATTAAAAACAAATCATTGGAACAAATATGTTTTGAAAGCAACAAAAGTCATGCCAAATAAAATTTTTTACAACAAAACCAAAAATTTATATATATATATATATATATATATACTAGAGAAGAACTCGCCGTGCACAGCACGGCGAGGCCCACGGTTAAGTTTAGTTAGTTATTTAGATATTTAAACATTAGGAATGAAAAAATGGTTACGTTTAGTTAGTTATTTAGGTATTTAAACATTAGGAATGAAAAAATTTAAATTAAGGTTGTTGTTAGAATATAAATATGTGTTCATAAACACTAACTATATATACATATATATATATATATATATATATATATATATATATATATATATTAAAAATAGAAGGTAATTGATAAAATGAGCAAAATTCTAAATACTACCCGTGTACAATAGTTTTAAATCCCAAATATTTCCAAAAAACACTTTAATCCTACATAACCAAAATAGTGAATCCATAATATTCCAAGCATGATACTATATACAAGAAAATAAGTGACATTCATAACATTTTTAGATATATTTAGTGAATATTGGTTTTGTAAAAGAGTGTTTGAGCTGCAAGATTGAACACAAGTGTTTGACTTATGAGAAATGTTCAATTCAAGAGAGTTGTGCTTAGGTAATGTAGGATGTTTACTGCAATCTCCCATGAAATGTTTCATTTGATTGTCCCACCATATGTTACATCTATCGGGTAAAGTTGATCCAAGTTTATTTTGTTCTGATATCCTAGGAAACGATTGATTGTAAAGATGATTTTTCGCATTAATATTATTTGATACTGTCTGCTTCAACTTTTTTTCTTCTTTTTTATTTTTCCATCTAATAAGGGCAAATTGTCTATGTGAAGGTTGATTGTTATCCATTAGTTATAAATTATCTTATAAATCATGCTCCCTGGAGATGGAAAATAACACTATGAATAATGTAATATAGCAATAGAAAGCAGAGGACAATTAAAGCAAAATGCAACTAATGTTTTCACACAATAGGTGTTTGTGCAATAATATATCAAAACTATTTACGAAGGTATTTGAATTATGAACCAAAGGCATAATAGTAAAACATAGAATATTATTTAAGACCTAGCATAGGTAAGAAACTATTACTTAACAAGAAATAAATGCAAACAATATTTCTACACGGAGTAAAAACCTTTCAATAAATGATGGCAAGAGGAAATCAGAAATCAATTTATTTGGGAACAACTCATAACATACCTTATAAGCAGCTTAAACAGCTTGATCAGTATAAGCCTCTTTAACGCCTTTTACTGCTTAACAGGAACACATGCCTAACAAAAACGCAGGAAGAACGGACCTCTAAATAGCTATTAGCAATTGCAAATAGTAAAATGAAGTTTACACCTCAAAGATACACAAAGACATAAAGATAGAGCAAATAAAAATTGAATTCATAACTTTAAAAATAAACTATTAACTACTTTGCTTTGCTAAATGAACAAATATACATACCAAAGAGTAAATAGACAGACACATAAATAAGAGGACGGACAATATATGTAGCTTTTTATTAATAGCAGTAGATCTTCGTAATTGTTAGGTTAGATGACACATGAAGATAGCTGAAACAACAGAAATGAGTTTTTTTTTCTTGCAAAAATTA